AATATGCGTTTTTGCTGCCTGTTGCAGCGTTCTAGCGCTGCACGGCAAAAACGCATAAAAACGGTGCACTACACTGCGGAACAGAGAACGCACCAAAAACTGATTACAATGAGCATCTTTTGATCTTGGCACACCAGCATTCACTACTCAGATATCGGACCGGATCTGAATAAAAGCCGGAATAGGCCCATTTTCGTTCGGAAGTGCCAGAAATACGAGAAGGGGACGTTTGTTCCACCTAGTTTTTTGGCAACAATGCCTTAATTTTAAAAAACTTAGTCGAAAGCGTACCAGCTGCCAGTACGAGGATGCGCTTTTTGCACAGTTCCCTCGCAGGTTTTTTTCGCCAGTGGCACGCTCTTCCGCGCAGATGCTTCTAGCTAAAAGAATTGTGACTAGCCACCACGACTGTTGGAAATCATTACAGTGACTCCCAATCCATGCTCGAAAAACCCAGCCCTCTGGATGCTTCGGTCGCGGAGTCAAGCCAAATTTCACGTGTTCGTACGTGAGTAGCAAGGTGGATGCTTTTTTCGCTCGCACTTGCTCAAAGACTGTTCTGAGTAACGCTCAGAAAGTTTCAGCACTCCAGCTGCTCTGGTTGCAGAGTTACGTCAAATTTTACGTGTTCGTACGTGAATGGCAACGTGAGTGCTTTCTTCGTCCGCGGTTGGTCAAACACGGTCCTGGGTAGCGCTCAGAAATTTTCAGCACTCCAGCTGCTCTGGTTGCAGAATTACGTCAAATTTCACATGTGTACACGTGAGATGTACGTGAGACGTGAAAGTGATGTGTAAGTCGTTTTTGCGTGCATTTGGTCAGAGGCCACCGTCGGTTATGCTCAGAAAATTCGGATCCTCTGGCTAGTTCAATTCTGAAGTTACAAAAGCGCATGCGCGAAATTTTCACGTGTTCGTACGTGAGATGCAGAAGAGCTGACAGGTAATTTACTTTCACGGGCACAACAGTGGGCGACAAGTAATGCTGCAAAATTGCAACTCTCCGACGTTTATTGATCATCTTAAATCTGGTGTTGGCATGATGCCAGTTTAAACTTTGACGC